AGTCTCTGTTCATATTTAATCCATCTAAAAGTGCTATGCTGACTGGAAATTGATATAAAAAGTGCATCCTAGTTTATAGATGTTTAAATCTTGATCAAGCAGAAAAATCTAAAATCATCCATAGGCTTCTCCCTAGAAAGGGCTGCTTTGTTTTTTTTTTCTTTTAATTGTTTTATTTTGCATTTCATGATCATTGTTAATGTTTGAACAGATCACAGTAAAAGAAGACAAGTACAAAAAAGAATCTATGTTAATTGCCGTTAATCGACGTCACCCGGAGTACTTACAGTTCAAGCCAGAAAAGAGACCAGTAGAGAAAGTTGTTCAGGTTGGTGATGCTGCCGCTAGTGAGAGCCCTTCACAGAACGTGCTTGAAGTGGTAGAGGTCTACAAGTCAAGTGTGCACGTTAATCCCATTTTTGCTTCTGTTGGTGCTGACACTGGGAAACTGCACTTAGCTTCTGAAGCTACTGATATTGTCTTCAAGTACGTTGAGAAAGAAAATCTGGTGAAGCAAACAAACAAAGCCATTGTGGTACTAGATGCATCTTTGTGTGATGCATTATTTAAGGGAGCCATCAAGAAAGGATCAACATATCCTACTGAGATCCACAAGAAAGATTTAGGTGCAACATTTATAAGCCGGATGCAGGCCCACCACGTTGTTACTAGAGGAAGTGAATCTGTTGTAAGGAAAGGTGCTTTGAAAACTGTTCAGATATTGACTGAACGAAGGCAAGGGAACAAAAAGGTGACAAAAGTTTCAGGTTTAGAAACTTTCCTTGTAGGTGCAGAAGCATTGGCATCAGAGTTGCAGAAGAAGTTTGCTTGCAGTACAACAGTAGCAGAATTGCCAGGTTGGTTTTATGCTTTATTTTTTATGAGATATGATCATATTGCTTGACCAGTATAGAAATAGTAGAGCTATTCCTGAGCTTGGCTACTTGCTCACGCTCAAGAGCAATTATATGTAAGAATTATTATTAGGTACACTGCCAGTGAAAAGTAAAAATTCCATAAGCGGGGTTTGAACAGCTGCAAGTGTCCCGTTATATATGTTTTTAGATACTAAAGAACACTTCAATGGACTCTTTTCATTGTCCTGTCCTTGCTTTTATTATATTTTTACTTTCTAGTAGCCGTCTACCTAATAATAGTTCCATATATATATATGTATACATTTAACTTAATGCATCTCCCGCAATATTCCAGTAGGGTTTTATTGGATAATTACCTTTCTGGCATATCTGCTTGCATCATGTTTCATCAAATTACATATTGTCAACATTTTTCCATGACTTCTCTCATGATCAATTCTTTCTTTTAAAATATCAAAATCAGCAGTGCCTTTGGTGGTTGCATGTTTCGCATGATAACATTCTTCCATACCTATATTAAACCTCTCAATTCTGATTTGAACCCAAGAGAGAAAGAACTCTTAAAATGAAGTCAATTCAGTTTCACCTAAAGAAGTTAAAAACCTGAACTTGCCCCAGTCTAAATCAGAAACATCTCTTTACGAGAATCTCAAAATGGCTCGAACTTAAGTCAACCTTCGGAAAGTTAAAACCAAATTCATGTTTCTTTTTGTATGTTATCCGTTTTACTTCCATTCACTTGAATTTTAAACAAGCACATGAATGCAAGATATTTGCACTATTTATGTAAATGGATTTGTCTTGTAGGTAAGAAAGGGCTTGAGGTTCTTATCCAAGGTGGTGTGATTGATGATGTTGCAAGACATCTACTTGAACAGTATGGAATTCCAAAGAGATACATTGAAGTTCTTGATAAAACCAGAAAATAAAAAATGATAAATGGTTAGTTTCTCTTTTATTAAGTGTTATGTCACCCTTAACTTGTTAGGACAAGGTTGCTATGGTCGGTGCTTGTTTTGTTCATCTATTTTGTCAGTATTGATTGCATTTTCATTGTTACTTTCTTTTCTTTTCTTAGATTACTTATGATGATGATGATAATTGGCAGTTAGGGTTTATTTGTTAGCATTAAACACTAATATTTATAATATTCATTATTTATTACCTTTAAATACCGGAGCTTTTGGTTAACACTACTAAAATTTCTCAGTGTAAAATTGCAAATAATAATAATGTGAGGTTTCTCAACACTTTTAGCAACAACGTTGCTCTTCCCATGTGGTTATTGCCACAACATTGAATATTATTGGCTTTATATATCATTTCTTATCATTTAGTTTATATTATGATATTAATTCTATCATACGACTAGAAAGAGAGAACATATATTTTTCAATCTTAATATCCAGTTAATATATATGATTGTAGCTGCATGATTATTTTGTACTGTCATTTAATACAATGAACATCTCTCATTTGCCACCTCTTGATGTGATCTATTAGTAATTTTGTGCATCTGTATTTTTCTATTGAGATATCACTCTGCCAATCTATCAATATTTTTATGTATTCTTCTAAAATAATGTGGTGGCAGAAGGTGATCTAAATTAGTGAAGTTGCATGAAACCTAATCTGGACCAACCAGTGTTTACTTCAAAAAGTTAACAATCCCTACCCATCTCAGCCTCCTGCATTTGCCACTTTTTGATGAAAGGCAATTTTCGGGAAAAATAAAAGGTTTTGGTACCCTAGCATGCTTAGACTTTGTTGGAATTTAAGATATAAAGTCGCAAAATAAGAGAGTTGTATTGTAATGTGATATAAACCTTCTCTTCTGGTTTTGGCTAGAAAAGTTAGTAGCACAAAATGGAAGGAACATGGACGAGCATTGAAGTCAATATTTCGTTTAAACCTGTAATGACTTTTATAAATGTCAGCTTCCATATTATACTGTAGCCACATGTTCATAGAATTTGGACTATTCGAAGTCTACTGTACTCAAAGGTGGTATTATCATATCATTAATAATGTTTAGAAGGTTTTTCCGTTGATGGTGTGTGTAGATTGTTCTAAGCACCACAGTGATAAGATATCACCCATTTGGTTAATACTATGGCATTAGAGTTTAGCAAAATACATGGAGTTATGCATTGAATGCTCCCGGCTTATAAGGTCTGTGTATGTTAACATTGGTGCCTGTTGTAGTGTCTAATAGAAGTCTGTTTTATGTATCTGATTGAAGGTTGTTAAATGCGAGTTTCAACTTGAAGGTTGTTTTAAGCGTTCTTTGTTACTCAAATGCAAGTTGATAGTAATATCTTTGCTCCTTTAGTACCGTATGTTGCAATATTTTTTATGGGGAAGGAAAACTCGAATTGATTAGGAGCTTTGTAGTCTTTCCAGGTTTGCGAGTTAATATACAGATGGTATAGTTGGCAGTGTTTGGTGTCAAAATCTCTTGGGAGGATCATTGTGGCGCTTGATGCAACTGCGAAGAGGCTTTGATGTTGTTTCATCATATTTTGTGACGAAGGCTTGAAATATCAATCTAGTATTCTGCTTAGCTTAAAGACGGTCTCTTAGGCCTGTGTTCCTAATTTAATAATTTCAGTGGCTTGCATACATCCTTTGCTAGCTGTACTGTTTCACTTCGGCTCTTGTTTTACAACATCAGCATGAATGAATGTCATTTTAGAATATTAGCTTAAAGATTCTCATTTAGGTGCCTAATTTTTTTGGTCAATGTATGTGTCTAATGTTATAAAAGTAATTATTTGAAGTGTTTACTACGTAACGAATGTTAATAAATTACGTGAATCACTCAAAGTAAAATACTTGGCAAATCTTTTGAAAATTATTATTAATTTTCAAATCAGCCATAGTATTTTTAAAATTTTAAATGTGTCTCAAGCTTCTAAAATTCTCAATCCTCTTTGCATCCCTAGCTGCTGCCGCCGTCAACAGCTGTTGTCACCGTCTGATCATTAGTCATTGCCACCATCATCGGTCAACGTAAGTGTAATGGATAGCTAAGGGAAAATCAACCCATGTATGTATTTTGATGTCATACTATGCCTGTTTTTTTTTTTTTTTTGGAAAACTTGGATTAACTTTTAAATATTAATGATAGGCGAGTCATGACAGGTATTTATGTTTTCTTAATTGATAATTTTATAGAATCTGTTATATTAATTCATTTTTTTTAATTTTACTTCATTTATTTGAACATATATAATTACGCTTATTTACATATGTTTAAATCTTCTGAAAGGAAGTGAAACATTTTCTAATAAATATACACGTGAATCTCGTAATACTAATTACACCTTAATTCAGCTTAAAAATGGATATCAATACATAGCATAACTACACTCGACCAAGACGTAAGAACCTTGTATTAGCCATACTTAATCATGTGGTCAGTCGATGGTACACTTTTTGTACAGATACAAACCAAAAAATAATAATTGAACAAATAATTAATTGCACATTATTACTTTTATTATAAAATTAAGGGTTAATATAAAAATAAATGCCTAAAGAATGTATCGAAAAATATTTTAGTGCCTAAAATTTTGTGAAAAATAAGTGAATAAATTTTTCCCCGTTATATTTTTAGGTGTCTATCGTTAAAAAACCGTTAAATAACACGTGTCGTGTCTAGATTTTAAAAATATATTTTTTTAAAAAAAAATCTGGACACAACGTAACGATTTTTTAACGTTAGACACCTGAAAGTTAATGGAAAAAATTTTATGCACCTATTTTTAACGAAAAATTCATACACCAAAAAGTTAATTCTGAATATAATTTAGAAACTTATTTTTATATTAAGACTAAAATTAAAACCAAAGAACATTCGATTGACTACAAATCGAATTACAGTAAAAAGGGTGTAATAAAGTAGAAGTGATTAGCTTTTTAAAATTATAATAATAAGTATTAAGCAGAAATTAGAAGTGCACTCAGATATTAACTGAATTTCGTCACATCACAACTAAATTACAGTATTAACTCTTGCCCTGCGCACTCACTCATATTTCTTTTAAGATATTCTCCCTTTACTTTTACTTCTCTTCACATTTGTAAAACCGACTCGTTAGTCACGAAAATCGTATTTGTAAAGAATGATTCAAAATGTATTGAAAAGTAATAAAATGGAAAGAATCCGGACCCATCTCAACTGAAAATATATGGCCTTAAAACGGTCAATTCAACTCAACTCTCCAATTTAAGTCTCTAGTTCAGCAAACAAAACCTGGTTAGACAAAATTCAAAACCCACAAAGTTTCTTTTAGAATTACTGCAGTTCTGTTCTTTTTCTTTCTGTTTGCTTCAATCAGAATATTTCCTAACTCGTATAGCATGAATTTTCTACATCACCATATCAACAAATCAGGAAATTAAAAATGAAAATAGCAGAACAGTTTTTAAAGAGATTTTCTACAGACTTGCAAGTCATCTAGGCCACCACTTGTTCCACTTCCTCTTGTATGTGGGATTACACAGGTACCCTCTTGCCCTGGTTTCTGTCTAACCACTGCACCATGGAAAAAGAGGGAAAATGTTCGTTCATTCATTTCCTTAAAGAAACACCTTCAATACTAGATTAAAAGAGGGGTCACATCATGATGCAGGAGCATAATTTTGAAATACAGTTTTATTTTATAATATTTATTAATTATTATATTTATGGTAGAAAGCTAAGGATAGGGCTGTTAAGTGCTTTAGATCTAGGGTTATGATTAAATTTTGCTTGCAAGAAAGTTAGCCTATATAAATGAGTTGTAGCCTTGACGACCAAAACAATTATCCATATTATTTTCTTCGACTTAATAGAATACAAGAGGTTTTCCTTAACCCTAAGTTTTTCTTGAGTTCCATCTTCGTATTTCAGTCATAATTTTGCTATTTTATTGCTGATTTTCTTCTTAACCATCATATCAGCTGTGATTCAATTCAAGCCATATGACCCGGAACTTAGCAACTCAAGTATCAGATACATACAAAATATAGTTAAATGAATACCATTCAGATACACACAAAAGATGGTTAAATGCATATCATCTCACAAGGTTTTCACATCTCAGTAACGAACACAACAAACTTTAAGACTTCTTAAATAAGGTCTTGAATTTAAGTTTACCCAATCGAGAAAACGAAATGAATATAGTTTAGATAGTGAGGTACTGAGGCAGGTCTCAAAGGCAATCATCAATTGTTTAAGTCATCATTGCCTTAAGGTACCTGACGAGAGGAAGTAAATGTGCACCTGGCAATATTGTGAACTTCACAAATTCTTTTATATTCTTATGCCATCATTCTCCTATATCAAAGAGAGAGCTTGAACCAAGGGTTTGTATCATATTAATACTTGCAACAGGAAACGGTACTTCGTTGAAAAGCAAGATGAAAACAACCAAAATCTCAGTAAACAACCTATTCAATTGAGGTTAATGAATTAAACAATCCAATAATTGACTATAATTTTACAGTTCCACGATTCCAATTTCTATTCCAGTCTCAGTCACGTAGAAACACAGAATAACTCTCTCCTTTCAGCAAATAAAAGAAATGTCAATTCAGGAGCTCATGTATTAAATACACAATAAAATGTCATCAGATTTCACTCCTATGAGCTAGTCATGAATATCAATGTGAACTTAGGGTTTAGATAGTGCTCAAGTTTTCTTTCATACTCTCAGATAACTAAAGATCACATTCTCTAGCCTTTCAAAATTTAAAACTGTTTTAGGATGCTTTTAATATTTTGCACAGATTTTGAACCATGCAAATAACCTACTAAGAACTAATAAAATTATAGAATACAAGCATGTAATTCCAGCAGACAGTTTATAAAGAAAATTTACTCGACTTTCAAACTAAACATACCGATCGGATAAATGGTTGCCGGAAAAGCCAACCAAGAATAGGTATCCTTTGTATAAACACTGACAATGTCGGCCAAAAGCCACTGCAAAAGGAAAGGAAAAAAGGATGGTAAATGAGAAGTACAAATATCATGCACTGGTTTGCAATAACTCAAAATAATTAAAATTTCATTTACACCTGAAGAGCACAATAAATCCATATGCCTCAAATATCATACCGAGGATGGGCCAACCAATGACAACAAAAAAGAAGCCAACAAAAAATGAAATCGTTCCCTGCATTCAATAGCAACAGATGATAGAAAAATGAACAATGAGTGCATAATGTGTGTGTATGTGCGCGCGCATGCGCGCGTGCGTGTGTGTGTGTGAGAGAGAGAGAGAGAGCAAGTGATACCTTAAAATTTTGGCGCTTCATGAAAAATTGCATTGTGGATTTCAGACCAATGGTTAAGGCCACTCCTGATATGAAAAGGATCTATTTTAAAAGAAAAATAAAAAGTGTTATTTAAGCATTGAATTGAGGGGAAAATGAAACAGTTTGGAATAGAGGTCAGTTAGCTTACGTTTCCCATGGCGAGCAATCCCTTGTCGAAAAAGAAGATAATTCCCAAAATTGAGAAAAATACACCAAATCCCGTTAATCCTAACCCAATTTCTGTTTTTCATGATGTCAGAAGGTTAATAGAATAAAACAAACAAAAATCAAAATATTAATGACAAACTAAGTTACAAGCCTCCAATTGCTAAATCCATGTAAGTCACAACTTCTATTTGACTCCAAGCATTTTCTATCTCAACAATCCACATAACTAAACATATAGTTTGTTCAGAAAACAGGTTTAGTTTAAACTAAAAGATTAGAGTTTTAGATAACCAGAGTAAACTAAATAGTACATGGTTCCATACCCATTTATCCAAGGTGTTGGAAGAAGTTTTGTTTACCAGAAATCATTCATATATTGTTTAAATATTATAAGATCATTCTAAAATTCTCCTAGGAAAATTTCATGATCCTAAACGGTCTTCAATTAGCATCTCATATACAAAATCCAAATGCTTGAGGGTTTATCACTTTGTATTCCTTGAGCAATATCATTGTAAGCACCATCGAATTAGCATGGTGCACAAACTTTGGAAAAAACAAAGTGAATACAAAATTAGAGCGAACAATTGGAACTGCGTTCTATTGAAATACCTAATTTATTGAAAGAACGAGAGTATTAAAACTTAGCAGTTATAAACATAAATCACCCTTTAAATCATTCCCAAATAACATCAATATAAAATAAAATGAACAAGTGAAAGAATTTTCCAGCTAAGCAGCAGTTAGAACGTACATGCATAATAACCTAAAAGGGTCCGTAGAGTGCATATAATACCAGCTTATATTAAAAATAAGTACCTAAAGTATACTCCTTTTTTCATCTAAGTACCTAAAGTAACTTTTGATCAAAATAAGTACTTAAACTTATCTTTTTGGTCAAAATAGGCACCTAAAGTATTTTTGGTCAAAATAGGTACCCAAAGTATTCAATTTTTTTCATCTAAGTTCTAAAAAAGTTGACAAGTGATATTAATTAAAGAATACTTTATGTACTTAGATGAAAAAAATGAAAAATTTAGGTACCTATTTTGATAAAAAAAAGTTTAAATACTTAATTTGACCAAAAAAATACTTTAGATATTTAAATGAAAAAGGTGATATACTTTAGGTACTTATGATATAAGCCTATAATACCCAAGTCTAGCTATTATACGTATTTCCCTAGAATTTCAAGGGATCATACCAAATCACCAGAACTCTCACAAAAACAATCACAAATTCATAGAATCATTAATTGAATGGAAGAAGCATCAAAGTTAAAAAAAACAAAAACAAATCAACAGAGGAGCTTTACTCTTTCGATCGCTCATTTCAAAGGAAACCATCGTGCTGGCTATTCAGACGCTTGTTGCCTACACAGAGAAAAACAAAGAAAAGATCGAATCGAGCTCAAACCAAAACACTGAATTCGTGAGAAATAATACAAAAGAGAAAACAGAAGCTAACAGTCAAATTACGGATCTAAAAAGACAGAGCGTGCACATCAAAAAGGGGAAACAATTTAATCCGAAAGTTCCGTTTCCATACCGAAAGAAAACAAATGGAGGAGCCGGAGTCCGAACGTTTTCTCGGTAATCAAGACGGAGAGACGAGAATTGAGAGAGCGAGGTTTCTTTGTATCGTTTCCACTACTATGAAAGAAACGAATGAAAGGAAGGAGAAATAATAGAAGAGGCTAAGAGCGTTGCGGTGCGACGCGATTATAATAAGCTGTGTGCCCGAGTTGGTAATTTGTTATTTTGTCTTTTATTAGCCGGAGGATCCTTATTTTGTTATTCGTTTTTGGTGAAAATTTGAGTTGGATCGAAAATAGCTATAGTAGTGATATTCATAATAACAGTTCCTATATATATATATATATATATATAAAGATTTGATCTATAGTTTTAACTCAATTCCACATTTAAATTTAATCATGCAAAAATTATATATATCATTTAGCTTCTTTGTTTATATCCAAAAATCAAATGAGTTTTTACTTTCGTAAATGGAACAATTGGGTTATTACTAAAAAAAATATGTTAAATTGAGCCTTTATGATGGCGGTTATCATTTTTTTAATGCACGCAAAGCCTAGGGATTCAGGCCACAGATTGAACCACAGAAGTAAAAGCTTCTTCTAACGAGATGAGCTTTATTTGTTCAGGTAAAGGAAAGAAAGCTTGTAACCGGAAGGGAATGTCCCACGCCAATTTCCCCATACGGTATGTTAATGTTATCTTGTTCCCTTGTTGAAGTAGATGAGAGATTTTTCCGTGTCAATCTCTCGTTATCATATCTACGATGTCCGATGTACACTCCATGTTTGCTCCTTGATCTAACAGTATCACCACATCTTTGTTTTCTGACTCCACTGTAATGTGTCCTAAATCCATCCACTGTGCTAAACATAGGCCTTCTTAGACTTCCCACAGTTCCGCATCTAAAGTTGAATAGCAGCAGGAAGTGGCTTTCGCAAACCCTTGAATCCATTGGCCTGAGGAATCCCGGAGCACTCCGCTACACATCGCTTAACCCGACGTTGTTTTCTTTTCTCCATCCAAATTGAGCTCCTATGAGAGGTGATGACATTCCGACGCATGACCACTGTACCTCCAGCTCTACTTGAATTTTGCACGAGTAGGGCATTTCTAGCTTAGCGTTTGCTGCTTTGAATGATACTTTCTACTTGAACGAAATCATTATTAAAAATACCATTGTTATGCCTGTTGGATTAAAATCCATAATTATGAGAATATATTTTTAATGTATATTGTTATCATAAAATATGACATAAATTAAGTGACCAATTATGTTATAAAATCATAAGGTATTAGAAGTGTCATGGAAATAAAAGTGTAGATACTATAAATGTTGTATTTATAATCTGATGAGGGATAGAGTTATAAGTACAAGTGATTCTTAAATCAGCTATATAAAGGGGTTATGGCACCAAGAAATAGATTTATCTCGTATTACTGTTATTCCGTCAGAGAGTTTATACTAAAGGGAACTCTATCTTATTGAAAGATAATAACCAAAGATTCAAAAAAATAGATTTCATGACAGTTTAGTATATGATTATTACATTTAGAAAAATTAAAACTTGATAATAATTGATTTTTATGTCTTGATATTAATTTTGAATATAGATTCGGTTAATTAAGCAATCAAGTTTTGAATATCTGTTTGCGTTATTATAAAACCCTTATGGATTATGAATTTATGTTATAGGTTTTGATTTTTCACATCTTACGTTTCATAGCGGGGGACATTGTACCCAAATCGACTACATCTTGGTTAGAAATCGGGAACGATGGGCTTGCATTGACTGTAAGGTGTTCCCTGAAGAGGCATGTGCATCACAACACAAATTGTTGGTTTTGGTGTTCCGCGTACCCCACGGGCGGAGCACTCATAGGAGGGCTAAACTTGGTAAACCTAGGATCCTCTGGAAGAACTTACATGGAGCGACAACTGATGACTTTAGGAGTAAGGTTTTGTCTAATACAGGTTTTGAAACTACAAACTCAAATAATGCAGATATGTTATGGAAAAATATGGCAAATTCCATCAGAGAGGTGGGCAAAAACACCCTTGGGTTGTCGACGGGGAAGGCCAAGGAACATAAAGAATCGTGGTGGTGGAACGACGAAGTCCAAACTAAGGTGAAGACAAAACAAACTTGCTTCAAGGAGTTTCTACAATGCAATGACGACGAAGAAAGGTCGAGAGCTAAACAAAGATACCAGGAGGCAAAGCGGGAAGCCAAGAAAACGGTAGCTAAAGCAAATGATAAGGCATACGAGGAAATGTACAAGAGATTAGACACCAAGGAAGGACAAAATGGAATCTTCAGACTTGCAAAATCTAGGGAGATTAGGAAAAAGGATCTAGGTAACATTAGGTTTATTAAGGACAACAATGGTGTTCTTTTAGCGAAAGATCACGATATTAAGAGGGTTTGGGGTAGTTACTTCTTTGGCTTATTTAATGACGGTGCCTCTCCATGTAGAGATAGTATCATTGATGGGTCATCCGACTATCATACTACGGCCAATGACTGCCCTACAAGTAGGATTGGGTTTGAGGAAGTCAAAATGGCTCTTAGAAAGATGGGAAAGGACAAAGTTGTCGGTCCTGATCAAATTTCTATCACTGTGTGGTTGGCCCTAGGAGAAGAGGGAGTTAAGTGGTTGACCAACATCTTTAATATTATTTTAGTGACTGCCAAGATGCCAGAGGAGTGGAGAGAGTCTACGGTGATACCAATCTATAAAAATAAAGGAGATCCCCAACGTTGTGGTAACTACAGAGGTATTAAACTACTCAGCCATACCATGAAGCTATGGGAAAGGGTGATAGAGGCTAGGTTGAGACAAGTTACTAGGGTTTTGAAAAACCAATTTGGCTTTATGCCAGGCAGGTCTACCACGGAGGCGATTCATCTACTTCGACGGATTATGGAGAAATATAGGGAAAAGTCTAGAGATCTTCACATGGCGTTCATTGACCTTGAGAAGGCTTATGATAGCGTTCCCCGCGATACGATCTGGAAGACTTTGGAAACGAGACGGATCCCAACTGCTTATATCCGGGCAATTCGTGATATGTACTGTAGATCTACTACTTACGTCAGGACTACAGTTGGCGGCACCGAGGCTTTCCCGATGGAAATCGGACTCCACCAGGGGTCGGCTCTTAGCCCTTACATCTTCGCCTTGATTATGGACGACATCTATTGTGCGACACCAGACGGTGTACCATGGTGTATGCTTTTCGCTGACGACATTGTCCTAGTTGCTGAAACAAAATCTGAGTTGAATAGTAGACTGGCTACCTGGAAGACTGCTTTGGAAGAAAAAGGTTTAAGGATCAATATTTAAAAGACAGAGTATTTATGTTCAAACTTCAATGGGAACCAAAACGATGAAGATGTAGAAGTATGCATAGAAGGACACGTTCTCCCCTCAAAGGATTGTTTTAAGTACCTAGGGTCTATGATACATAAAGATGGGGGTGTAGATGATGACGTTACACACCGTATAAAGGCGGGATGGCTAAAGTGGAGGGCCGCTACTGGAGTTTTGTGTGACAAGAAGGTGCCTCTAAAACTTAAGGGAAAATTTTATAGAATGGCAATAAGACCAGCGCTGTTGTATGGATCAGAATGTTGGGCAACCAAGAAGGATCACGTAAGGAGGATAGAGGCCGCAGAAATGAGAATGCTTCGATGGACATGTGGTAGGACTCTGTGGGATATGACGACAAACTCTGCTATTAGGATGTCCTTGGGGGGTGGTGTCTGTTTCCAAAAAATTGAGGGAGGGAAGGCTACGGTGGTTTGGGATGTCCTTAGGCGACTACCATCGGATGCGGTCAGGAGGGTTGAGTCGATTACAGTCGACTGTGCCAGAAGGAAAGGTCGACCAAGGCGGAAGTGGGAAGACTGCTTGAGATCTGATTTGATGGATTTAGCCCTTACCGAAGACACGACCTCTGATAGGAAAATAAGGAGGCTAAAAACTAGGGTAGTCGAGTAATGTGGGTCACATCTATATGGTGTATCATCTCTGTCTTCTTTTAATGCCTTTGTAGTAATTTCCATGACTTCTACTTTTTATACGTTTCTGTTATTGGTATTTATGAAGGATTAGAATTGGGCTTGATATCGTTGACTTCTGTGTATCATTCTCTTCATGTTTCCTCTTTTAAATTTAGCCGGGTCTTATGTTTCTGTCTATATGCAGAGATTCTTTCGCAGGGATTATTTTGCAGGGATTAATTCCCATTACAAACGCACATATGATTTTAATGACTGCATATGAATACTTTTTAGATATGTATTTATGTATTTATTTATACATGCATTGCATTTTATCTATATTTTTAATTTTCTGACTGCCGGAGGTCTTTCTCGGAAGCTACTCTCAACCTGGCGTTGGGGGGCAGCCTACTACCCTACCTCCCCCTTACCCCATACATATGGGAATTGTGTTTTGTTGTTGTTGTTAAAGGAAAAATGAAAAATTAAACACAAGAGTTTAGAGTTGTTCGACTTTCTAAACTAAAGTCTACATCCACTACCTTAGCTATCCACACTAAGGATTTTCACAAATTCAGTAATTTGTATCAACCTTTGAGGATAAGATGCAACCTTACAATTTTCTAAAAAATTATATCTCAAATTCTTGATACATTCTCTCAAAGAGAAAATTACAAATTGCAAACTTAGAAAAATCTCACAAAGAAATTGTTTCACAATTCAAGAACAAATAAGAACACTTGACAAAAAAAACAAATGAGTGCCAAAATGTTCTTTGAAAGCGAAAGGAATGTTAAAGAATGTTGACTTTGATTTTGGCTTAATGTGATTGCTTTGTCTTTCTCTTTGATCTCTTGTCTTTACATGTGACTTGAATCTTGTTTTTATATGTGTCTTGAATCTTGTTTTTATATGTGACTTGAATCTTGTTTTTATACCCTTCATTCAATTCTAGCTGTTTGGATTGTCGTGGGAGTTAATAGAGTTGTTGGGATGAGAGTTTTCGCAATAAATTCTGCCTAAACGCCTTGAGTATCGATACTCATGTTTATAGTATCGGTACTACCTACATTGATTACAAAAATCTATCCATTGGGAGAGGGGAGTATCGGTACTTCAATATGAGTATCGATATTGGTATCGATACTTGTATAGTATCAATACG